GTCTATTATCAAGATGCCGTGGACGTATGGAAAGATCTCAATGAGAGATTTGATAAGCAATATGGAGCGAAAATCTTCTCCTTACATAAAGAAATCAACTCCTTAACTTAAGGTTCGGACTCGTTACGATATACTACTCCAAGTTAAGACATGTTTGGGATCAACTGGATTCACCGATTCCTCCTCGAGCTTGCATTTATCCACATTGCAATCATGAAGTCTCTCAACCTTTTGTTGCATATACCTAACAACATAAGGTAATGCAATTCTTGATGGGGTTGAATGACAACTTTCAAGTTGTGTGGTCTCAAATCCCGTTAATGCGACTGATGCCAACACATTCACATGCATATTTAATGGTATCTAATGAGGAATCTCATGGAGTAATTAGTTTCGATTCTAGTTGACAAGTGTTTATCGCTTTTTTCTTTTCCAAAAATCGATATCCGCTAAAACAAGTTACTAATAGAGGTCCATGGACACCAAATCGAAGAGAATTAGTTTGTGTTTATTGCCATGCATCCGGACATTTGAAGGACACTTATTACAAGCTACATGGTTACCCCAATCCCTCTAGAAGACTTTTTGGAAGCAATAGAGGTGGACGTAAAGGTGGTTTACTAGTGGTCGGAGAACTTTCAATGATCACAATATGAAGCTATCCGAAGCCTCTACAAGTGGCTATAGTTTGTGCGCCTATAGAAGCTACTATGCATAACAATCAAGCATCCGGAAATTCATCCGAGCAGATTGCAGAGCAAACTTACTTGAGCAAGCCTCCAGCTTTCACACCTCACCGATATCGATAAATACTTGACTTACTCGTTAAAGGATTTAGAGAAGCTTATCCGAGCTTGCAATACCAATTGCTAACATGGAGGTACATTCTTTTGTAGTTTATTGAATATGAATTGTGAAAATGATGTTGAGTGGATTGTTGACATTGGTGCTAATGTTCATATGACTCGGGAAACTTAATCCTACTAAATTAGCATCCAATCTTACTCGTGAGATTACCTAATGGCACTATAACCCTTGTTACTCATGTAGGTTCTGTCAGTTTGTCAAATTTTACTCTTCAAAACGTTTTATATCTACCAGGATTCAAATTCAATTTGTTGTAAGTGGCTCGATTCACTCGTCGATAACAATTGTTTGGCTTGTTTTTACCCCGATCTTTGTCTATTTCGGGACTTATGAACTGGAAAGATAAAGGGGATTGGTAAAAATCATAATGGCCTTTTTCATGTCATACCAGTCGACTTTGCACTCTCTATTTTCTCAAATTCATGTAATAACAATTTCTTTTCTAGCTTTTCTAATTCAAATTGTAATTTGTACAATCATTTTTTCAATCAATCTAAATCTTATTGTGCACCTACTCGCTTGTAAAACAAGTTGTATGTCTAATATAGCTCTATGACGTAAATGTTTTGGCCATATCTCCTTATCTCGTCTCAAGTTGATTCCGGATATTTCTATACCTTCCGATCATGAATTTTTTTGTGATGTTTTTCCTCTTGCAAAACATGCTAGATTACCTTTTCCTTACAAAACATCGATTACTTAGTTTCCTTTTGAACCACATGGACATATGGGGTCCTTATAAGCATTCCACTTATTGTCAAGAGAGATTCTTTCTCTCCATTGTTGATGATTTCTCTAGGGAATTTGAACCTTCCTTTTACAACATAAGTCATAAGTTCTCACTCTAGTCAAACATTTGTTTGCCCTCATCCATACACAATTTTCTTCTTCAATTCGTAGGGTTGGAATAGACGGAGGCTCGAATTCCTTCAACATGCTTGTCAAGAGTTCTTTTCTACTTATGGTGTTATCCATGAAACTATCGTTCCTTACACTCCTCGACAGAAACGGAGTTGTAGAAAGGAAGCATAGACATATCCTTGACATTGTACGAGCTCTCATATTTCAATCCCATGTTCCAATCCAATTCTAGGAGGATTGTATTCGACTTCTACTTACATCATCAATAGGAATCCTACTCCTCTTTTGCATGTCAAAACACCTTTTGAAGTTTTGTTCCGTAAACCTCCCGTCTATTCTCACCTCGGAATTTTTGGTTGTCTCTATTATGCAAAAATACTACATTGCCAAGATAAATTTACTCATAGATCTACAGACTTGCTTTTTTTAGGCTATCCTTACTCCAAAAAGGCTACAAAGTCTTAGATTTAGCTACTCACAAAGTCTTTGTATCTAGTGATGTTTTGTTTCATGAAAGTCCGTTTCCTTTTCATCCTTCCTTTAAACCTCTGTCTCAATCCTCCAATATCCAAATTGGTCATCCTATTGACCAATGCATATATGATGATGATTCGACATTTTTTTTTACTCTTACTTCTTCTTCCACTCGATACAAATACTCGCTCCACTCTCTCCTCCCCTTGCATCACCTACTTCGGAATCGTCTCCTTTCGGTCATCCTTCCTAATTGCCTTCTTTTCCTTCGTTATGTTGCCTATTTGTAAGTCTACAAGAGCAACCAAACCTCCTTATTGGCACACCGATTTTGCTTATCCTACCATCCATACTTCAAATTATAAGCACTTGTCTCTTCGATCCTAAGTACTCGTATTCACAACTTTGTTTCTTATAATTCCCTCTCATCCCGTCGGTCGACTTTTGTGTCATCTCTTTCTTCTATTCGCGAACCTACCTCATATTCAAAAGCTATTAAGAATCCTAAGTGGATAGATGCTATGCAACAGACAATTACAAGCACTTGAGTTTAACAGGACTTGGACACTAGTTCATTTGCCAATAGGTAAACGTCCCATCTAAGTGCAAATGGGTCTATAAAGTGAAATTTAATCTCGATGGGAGTATGGAGACATACAAAGCTAGATTGGTGGCTAAAGGCTCTACTCACTTAGAGGGGGTAGATTGTAGTGATACCTTCTCACCTATTGTGAAAATGGTTACCTGTTCGGATAGTGGTAGCTTTGGTAGCCATACATGGATGGTTTTTGCATCAATTAGATGTGACTAATACCTTCTTGCAAAGTGATCTTTTAAAGGAGGTGTATATGTCGGTTCCACTCGGTTTTGGCGAGTAAGGAGGAGGGCCTAGTATGTAAGTTGCTTAAGTCCTTTATGGCTTGAAGCAAGCTTCAAGGCAATGGAATTCGAAATTTATAGAGAAGATGTTACTTGCTGGTTATGATCAATCCCAATATGATTATTCCATGTTCACCAAGTGAGTAAATGGTAAGATAGTTGTATTATTAGTATATGTGGATGACATTTTGATCACTCGGTGATGATAAGGATGGTCCACAAGCATTGAAGTTTTTTCTTCATCGGACTTTTTACATCAAGGATCTTGGCCCTCCGAAATATTTTTTGGGAATAGAAGTAGCAAGATCCAAGGCGTGTATTTGTCATAATAAAAAAAAAATACTTTTGAGTTGTTACATGATGCATGTTTACTTGGTTCTAAGCTAATGGAGATGCCACTTGGAACGAATTTGAAACTTACCTCGGTTGCATATGATACTTGCTCTATTAGTAAGGTCTCCGATGTTACGGCTATCGTTTGTCCGGATGGAACTTTAACCGATCCTACCGAATATCGGAGACTTATGGGTAAACTCATCTACCTCACCGTTACTCGTCCGGATATATGCTATGCAATCCAAATCCCGAGTCGGTTTATGCATGCACCTAAGACTTCTCACATGAACTCGCCCTACGAGTTCTTCATATCTCAAGGGTGTTCCCGGTCTTGGTATCATGTTGTCTTCTTCTAGTCGACTGCGTCTCCGGGTTTATTGTGATTCGACCGGGCTTTTTGTCCCATGACAAGGAAGTCCCTTATCGGTTTTTGCTTGTTTCTTGGTTCTTTTTGCTCTCATGGAAGACCAGAAGCGAACACCATCTCTCGGTCCTCTGCTGAAGCCGAGTATCATGCCATGGCAAGTCGCTACGTGTGAACTTGTTTGGCTTGTAGGCCTACTACGGGAGTTAGGTGTCTCTTGTTTAAGAGCTCGCCGATTTCTTTTGTGACAACAAGGTCGCTCTCCACATTGCTTCTAATCCGAGTGTTCCATGAACGCACTAAGCACATCGAAATCAATTGTTACGTAGTTCGAGAGAAGCTCAAAGTCGGGTTAATCAACCCGCCTATGTGCCTTCTATTGATCAAGTCGCAGATCTATTCACCAAAGGGCTTGGCAAGTAAGCAACATCAATATCTTCTTTCCAAGTTGGGTGTTTATGACATATATAAACCTCTAACTCGAGGGGAAGTATTGAGAATATAATTAATGTTAGTTGTTAGTCAATAGTTTGTTATAGGTTAGTTATGTTAGTTCCTTGTATAACCGACTTAGTAGAGAAAGACTTGTATAAATACCAGCTCATTAATTGTATAGATACGGTTGAAATAAATGAAATACGAGTTCAAGTTTTTCCCTCTCTCTGTTTTCTCTCGCTTTTCCCGCTTAGTTTGTTTCTTGCTTCTTTCAAGCTTAACAACAACATAATATCTATAAATAACTATTATATGGTTAAAAAAGTTTGCTCGTTCTTTTGATTTCTAGTATTTAGATCTTTAGGACCAAGATACTAATTGGAGAATTTATTCCATTAAAAATACTGATCCTTAAGATTCTGACAAAAAAATATAAAATAAAAACTTAGTTTCGATCAATTGCAAGCTAATCCAAAGATATTGAAAAAAAAAAAAAAAAAAAAAAAAAAAAAAAAAAAAAAAACCTTAATTTCGATTAAATGCAAACTAATTCAAAGATAGCTTGTAAAAAAAAAAAAAAAAAATAGAAATAATGGTTAAAAAGAATCCTCAATAAGTGCAGCAAAAAGTCCAACACAGTAACACTAGGGAAGTAAAATCTGAAGTAGAAGAGCCTTGCGGAGTTGTGGTCATTACTCATGACGAAAGACATACATAAAAGATGCAACTCATCAAAGGAACCCCACAAAAAGACCCGTCAAAATTACTCTGCTACGTACTGATCTCAAGCAGCGGCAGATCCTCTAACATTCTCGACAACAAACTTCCCATTTTTCCCTTTCTTAAAAGCATCATCCCCCATTCTGCACCCATCAAGCAAAGCAGTTAACTTAAAGGGTGGAACATCAGCAGCCAACCATCGATCAACATAAAAGATAGTCTGGCTACACTCATTATGTGGTCCTGTGGAGGTGACTTCCACGTAGTCACAGTACCAGCCATGGTGAGACCCTTGGCCATCAGAGGTCAAGTTTAGGCGGCATATGGGTGCCCCAATGCATGGACCACGGCCACTAAAGATGTCAAGGTTACCACGCTCATAGTAGTCGTGTTTAGGCTCCATTAGACCCCATGACTGAAGGTCTGGAACCCATACTGATCGGCCTTGTGAGTCTCCTAGCGTCAGGCTGATTTTTGAGTCCGTTCCTGCCTTCATTGTTGATCCAGTCTTTACGTAGAGAGCGTATACACAATCACCACCACCCTGTATGTATTTACCAAAGATTACAACACATGTAATTTTACTAAAAATTTTTACAATCAACACACAGAATCTTAGCTAAACTTTTGATACTCTCATTTTCTTATATTCAGATTTTAGTATGCGACCATCCCACAAAAGGACCAATGACGAAAAAAAATATTGAAATCTGAAAGAAAACATTACTCCTGAAACAGGAACAGTATTGATTACAATATTTGCTAGAACTAGTTTAAATATCAAAGTCATTTAAAGAAATAGCTTCTTCTTCTTTTTTCATCTCCGCTCCACTATAGCGTAGATTTCACATAATCTGATCCTGTCTAGATTGATGGACACATAACTTATGTAAGATCGATGACAAGCGATATGGAGGAGAAAGGAAAATAATGTTGAAGTTGTGGCGACAATTACGGTAGTTACATAGAAGCCAGCAGCAGCAGAGAAGAAGAAAGCAATGAAAAGTATAGAGTCGAGTTTTCCCTTCATTTCTCTTTCAATCTCAATCCTGCCTCGGTGAGATTGAGATTTGTAGAATGTGATTTGAGAGGGTTAGGGGCTTGCACAGAAAGATAGAGTGTTTGTATATTCTGTTAGATGGTTGCGTGGAATTAAAAAGACAACCAATATTTACTGTTTGCTGATCGTGTGCTTGACCATTTCTATAAGATAGTGCTTTGTGTAACACGTAGCATTATCAACATGCAGATCTGGATGTGGAATGTGGATATACCTTCTACAGAGCACTTGTGTGTCCGCACTGGTGAAGAAGCTACAACTAAATGATAGATTATTCCCCTTTTCATTGCATTATTACTGCCCAGATCACCGGCCAAAAGCATCTTTTAACTTTTTAAAGCTTTCTGCTGCTGTTGCTTGTATTTAAACAATGCCAACTTCTAAATTCTAGGGTATAATAAAGGAAATGACATACCATAATAGTTTACATGAAGAATACTTCAATCAAACAAAGTACTGCAAATTGAATATGACTTTTCCATCTAAGATGAAAGAAGCAAAGCTCTAAAAAGTAATAAATTTCCTTATAACAGTCAGGGTGGAAACAATTCAAATATGCGTCCTGCAACTTCTCGAGTTCTTTGCCATTGGTTCTTTGAAAATTGTATTGAACCTATTTTAGGTCGAATTTATATTTCAACCCCTCATTTTCATGGTGAAACATAAAAATCCCAAGAAAAAATAGCTATTTCTATATCCACAATTGACATTAAGATTCCATTTCTTCCACTCACATAAGATCCTGTTCGAGCCTGCAGTGAGTAAGATACCACATCTAGGCTTATTGAACACGTGAGTGACTATAAACAATCTAACTAGCATTTACATTTACATTGTATAATAAACAATTATATGACCATAAGAAGACAAACAGTTCGCCATTATGCTGATCATACAGAGGCATATTAGTGAGATTGTTTATAGGATTTATGTACAGTAATAACTGTTGTGGAAGTGGTATGGTGAATTGGTTGCAAACACCCCAAAAGATATTTCTTGAATTTACTGGAGTTCAGCCTGGCAAAGAATAAACAAACATCATTTAAAAATAATCACCAAGTTCAATAAATAAATATATAGATATCTAAATTAAAACATAGTGGATGAAGTAAAGATGACGTATTGAAAGTTCAAATAAAAAGTTCTACGGGGTGACTTAACTTTTTATTGAAAGTCACCAGGAATTTGGTATATACGTTATGACCATAGGTAGTAATACAACAAGAACAACAAGAACAGCAATTGATCCAAATCAAGAAGAAAAGAGAGTGCAACACAAGGCAGTTAAGGGCAATGCCTTGCAAGAGAAAATTTTAAGGTGCACTGCAATGGAGGATTCAAGATGGTATAGGAAGAAAAGAAACAGCCCGTGAAATAGAATTGAAAAGGATCTGCTCAACTGATGCCAAAAAACCAAATGTCTGTAATGAGTAAATCAATGATAAGACACCCAACCAGGCCGATTGACATCCATTTTTATAAGCATTCGTTCATTTGGTGAGCAGGAACAATAATGACAAAAGTAAAATGTTTGACTGCCACATGTTACAAAACATAACAAGTACTATGCCAAGGGAATTTTTTTTTTTTTTGCTAAAAAATGTCAACAATGTTGGAAGAATGATGAGAAGGGGGAAAATGATTAATTATGAAAATTACCTCATATCAGCTGCTTGAGCTACCAAGATCGAAATCCATGGTGTAATCATATTCAATAGTTGGAATTACAGAGGCTACAAATTTCAAAAATAAGAAAAGGTACCTACAAAGTAAGAAATTGCAATTGTAAGATACAAAGGGATAGAAAGGTGGATAAAAAATGTATTGGCATGTAATTGCAATAGTAAAATTTATAAAATGACAGAAGTCAGAGCTAGCAAATAAGAAACAAAGACAAATTGGAAGCTAGACCAGAATGCCATAAATCTAACTATAAATTAGCTCTGCAGAGAGAGCAGATTTCATACAACAGTTTTTGGAGAAATTGTTACATTTTCATTTGCCTCTCAGATTTTGATAGCAGACAAGGAACTAAGGTAGAATTATTGTTTCAATTACAGATCAGTCGATCAGATAGTATGAATTGAGTAATGAGGTTCTCAGTAATCAAATGCTTGTATGGAAACAGTAATGACCACAAATCCCATTCAAATCGCCAATGCTTTAATGGGTATATATTAAGGACTGGGTTGCGTGTGTGTGTGTTTTGTATCCACTAAGTGCAGTTGGTGATGCTTCAGAATTTGAAGGTAGAATCGCTACTTGGAAGATTCTGAACCATGAACTAATGTAGAAAAACAGATAAATAAATAAAACTTGAGCAACTAAAACTATCAATGATCCATAGATGTTGCACAATAATTCACAGATTTTACTGAAGTGACAGCAGGCAAGGAGCTAAGAAAGGATCGAGGTTAAAAGATCAGAGATGTTGCATGTCTTATAGCTGGTAGATATTGCATACTAGGAAAACAAAAGAAAGAAAGAAAGTAAGGAAGAAAAGCAGATTAACTGGTGACTAATGTCTGAGGGCAGAGCATGCCATCAGCATTAGAGGCAAATTCTATCAAATTTCCTTTTTATGAAAACATAAATTTGGCAATTAAAATATAAGCCACTTGGGTCTTATTGCCATTGTTCATTTCTTAAATATCGAAGAGAAATATTGGAACCACAAATAATTGAAATGCCTTGGACACAGACAGTTTAACCCAAACAGATCTGGTGTAACTTACTAAGAAACTTGGCTAGTTAGGTAGAGAACATTCTTTCTTTTAGTTATTAGGAAATTCACTCAACCCGTGGATAAAACACCCAACCTAATCTCACTAGGCAGTTCTCATGGAATAGTCGAGGACAACTTACAATTATAGGTATCTTATTGAATCTCACTTTTCCCTTTAAAAGTATAAGATAAGAAACTTACTTGTCAACTTCTGGCTCAACTCCGCGTGACATTAAAACATCAATAATTTTCTTCATGACAGCCCCATGTTGACAAGGATGCACTGACGCATGCTTCCCAGGTAAGTGAGGATGGTCTTCAATAGTTACCTGTGCATGATCGAATTTAGATACAAGGACTGAAGAGTATAAGAAGCAATGCACACATTATAACTTCTCTATGAAATGGCACTAAAAGGCCAATGTCAGGAGATATATCAACGCAAGCAGAAAAATGACCAATGAAAGACTTACCAGTTTCTCAATGGACTTAAACTCGAGGAAAAAAAATCAGAAGCATAAGAGACACAGACACATACAAAATGGTTCTGTAAAATCTCATGAAATCATTAAAATGTAAATCTTGTAAAAAATCAGAAGCATAAGAGACTCAAGGTCCACAACCTAACAATTCCACTGTGATGCAAGGTGGGTTGCATTACTTTAAGAATTTTAATTTTTGAGTGACATCTCGTGAAATCATTAAAATGAAAATTCACATCCCCACCCCCTTTTTTAAGGATCTTAAGGTCAGAACCACAGTATTGGTGAGTCAGTGTAACCGTAAAGGCACACATGCACAAACACAAACATGCAGGCATGTGAGCACACCACAAGAATTTTATTCAACCCCATCACTAATAGCAGGTCCAAAGGAAAGGATTTTATTCGACCCCATCACTACTCAGCCAAACAATAGTTCCCTAATAGCAGGTCCAAAGGAAAGGAGAAACACACACACACACACACACACATATATATATTAAATAAACACATCCAATGTGCATAATATCAATTGGTAAACAGAATAACAAAATCTCAGCACCGTTTTGTGTGCATGGTCTTGGCTAACATCTTCAAGTACAAGCTCTGGTTGCAAAAGCATCCTTGACTGCCATGTAAGAGAAAAGGAGAGTCAACAAATGAGTTAAACTCCATAAATGATTTACAGAAACAAGTTCAATTCAATCCCATACAGCCTTGCCACTACAACCATGTTCAGAAATCAATTTCACAGACTATAATAAATAGAGATCACAACCTTCATGTGCATTTTTATCACACCAAAGTTTCTTTGATTGGTAAAACATATTGTTCTAATACTCATTACCCAACTGACAAGATTCAAAAAAGATTTGACAAAACAGCAACAAACCTCATCATAGCCAGTGAGCCATACACGAGGAGTTTGATAATATTTATCATAACTGCAGATACGAGATAAAAAAAAACCATGTTATGATTGGCTTAAAAAATTGCAGCGATTTCAATTAATTCAGAATTCTATTGTAAACATCACCAGACTATTGCATTGGTGTTAAAAAGAAAGTATGAAGACCCCAGCTATGAGAATCACAGCATAGACACATCACATAGTCCAACAGAAGATGACAGATGCTCTAGAACTGTTAAAACACCCAAATTTAAGAAGTAACTTATTAATCAAGACTCATCTTACGTGATGCTGACATCATATGTTCGAGTGCGCAGAATGTTGTCATCATCAGGTTCATGAGCCACGAGATACGTAGTCTGAAGTGTTGCCTACATCAATCAAATTTACATAAAAATTATAAAAAGTTTCTACTTCTAACCAGACTACAACAAGGGTATGAAGAAAAGAAATAGCAAGTTACAGGATCTGATTCAACTAGATTGTCAGGGTCTTCAAAGTCTTCCATGTCAGGAATATCTTCCTCTTCCTCTCCCCCAAAGTATGAAGGGTTTGTCTGGATAAGGCTTTTTTTTGCACTGATTTCTAGAGCTTCCATTGAAGGCACATTCTCATCCTCATCACCTTTAGTTTCTAGAATAAATGCAAATCATAAAGTCAGAACTCAGAAGACTAAACATCAGTAATTGATATCGAGCTCCAGCACAAATGGTACCTTTAGGTTTCCCATGAGTTGCCAGCCATCCATCATCATCTTCATTGTCAAGTAGAACTTCACCTCCAGCAGCTTCATACTCTTCTTCTACAGATGCAGCTCTTCGGAGACAAGGAACTAAAAAAGAAGTTCACAATTTGTATCAACAAACTACGATAAAGCAAGCACTGCAACATTATTCAAATTAAACAATGGATATGAATTGGCTAAATTTCCATCTTTCTTTACATTCAAAACAACATGAACAGAGAATTACCTCGTTACTTTTCATTCACTGAACAAGAATTATTACAAGTCTATGTAATTACTAATTGCCATTTAAGAATCATAACTTCATAGATGCCGTTAAAAAAAAACATGGTTGGTGACAATTACCATTTCGAGTAATCAAAAACTGTTTCTCTGCAGGTAAGTACGGCTTCCTCTTGCTCGGCTCGCCAGATTCCCTTGTAATATAAAAACCCAAATTAAACCATATAATAGCAGGAAGCTCACTAATTTGTGATCAATAATCACTTGAAACGGAAAAAGGAAGAATATAACACACGATTTTAGTCATAGAGAGTTCAAAATAACAATAATAAATATGCGTTAAAAGTTGATTATTACAACAAAAAAAAGTGGTGCTAAAATTAAAAGACGGAGGCTTTGTAAGAAGGGTGTGGCAAAGAAGTGAATTACCAGGACCAAGTGGGGCATTTAGAGACGAGATTATCACCAGCGAGAATGAATTCGCTGACACTAAGAACGCCTTTCTCTTTGAAAGCAGAAACAGTGCGTGGCCCTGTCATTCTCTCTACTGTTCCTTTGAATGCTTCGTGAATCCTCTGTGACAGTACCATCTCTCTGATTTTTTGATCGAATGGGGAGTTGAAATCAAGCAAACCCTAAAAATTGCAGGGGGAAAGAGAGAGAGCGACAGGGCAAGGGCGTGTTTGTGAAGTTAACTTTGCGGGGATAAAGGTATTTTGCTTTTTGTTTTAAATATTTGACAGAAACTACACTCTTAGTCCCTGAAATTTAAATATTTTTCGGATTTTATCTCTGTAGCACGTTTATGGTGATGTAACTTTTTTTATGACCCCATTTCTTTTAGTTTCACTTGATCTTCATCCCTATATCTTCCCCCATCCTCTCCTACGAGGAAGTTGCTAGAAAGAAATTCTTATAAATTGCATCAAGAATGAATTGCATATCCGAGTAGAAATTTAATCTCCCTGCACAAATTTGTTTTTCACCCACGCTACGCTATGCGGATATAGTAAAACAAAATCATTTTAAATTTTTTAATTATAATTTTTATTTAATTAATTTTTTTCTAATGTTTTTTATAAAATTTTTCTTTAAAAAAAAACATAAATCATTCTTTTTTATGAATTTATTTTAACTAAAATATTAATCGAGAATTAAAATATATTTTTCATAATATTGTATTATAAAAAATAAAATTTTAATTAATTGATATACTTTTATAAAAATTAACAAATGAAAAAAAAATTATGTAATGCTAATGAGAAGATTAATTTTTGAAATTATCCACACAACGCTGTATGTAGATAGAACAAAATCATTTCATAATTTTATAATTTTTTCATTAATTTTTTATTTAATTATTACTATTTTTTGCATTTTCATAAAAATTTTAAAAATTCTAAGAATTCATGATATATATTATATCAATTTATTTTTTAAAAAAAGAAAAAACAATCATGTTTTAAGATTTTATTCTAAAATTCAAACATAGAGTAAAATAAATTATATTTATCAATAAATAAAATTATATATAAAAATATTAATTGGATGAGAATTTTTATAAAAAAAAATAAATTTAAATAATAAAAGTAATATAAGCTAAAGTAAATGTTAATTTTAAAAAATAAAACGATATATATATATATATATATATATATATATATATATATATATATAATCATTAGTTTGTGTAAAAAAAGTCACAGTTAATTTTTAAAAATTTTAAAACCTAATTAAATAAAAAAAGAACACAAATTGATGAAAAAAAACCAAAGAAAAAAAAAAGGAAAAGCCATGTAGTGCATGAGATAGGGATTAAATTTTTAATTTTAAAATTTTAGGGACCAAAATGAAATAATTTGAAAATTACAAAAAAATACCTAAGAGTGAATAATACATTATGAGGGTAACACCCGATTAAATAAATAAATAAATAAGAATATAAATTGATGAAAAAAACAAAGAAAAAAATGCATGTAGTGCATCTATTGGAGATTAAAATTTGAAGGACCAAAACAAAATTTCAAAAAAAAAAAAAAAAAGCATGAGTGAACAATATACTATGAGGGGGTGAACAATGTTGTCACTCGCTCAAAAACCCCACCTCTTTTGGTTTATTAGTAATATTTGAGCACCCTTCTTTCACATATCAAGATAAGTCCTTTCTAATACCGAAAAAAAAAAAAAAAAAAAGATGGTCAATGATACTACCATCTTGAGACTTCTGTTTTTTATTGATAATCCACATATTATGATAAAGCCCAAGAGATTTTTCATATTGAAATATTTGGATGTGTGAGTATGAATGAGTTATATAGAACTTTAGAATCGACCAAAACATCTTTACCTTAATCTTATTCGGACATCATTCATTTGTAGTCATTAGGACAATGATCCATTGGTCATATTCGCGAGAAAGCAACCAAAAGCGCGGACCTATTAGCAAAGATGGATGTGTGAGTTATTTCTCCTCATTATTTGTCAACACCCTCCACTTGATATTCCTAACATTGAACTTATTAATTTTTCTTGGGCAAGGTTCGGTTAAGTTCTTGGTTGTTAAAATAAAAAAAAAAAATCACCATATTGTTTTATCGGATGACATATCATAATTTTTTTTATGTGAGAGAGAGAGAGAGAGAGACAAAAAGAGAGATTAATATATAGAATTGAGGACCATTACATACGGGGATTGAATTGCATCTTGTCAATTGGTCAATGAAGGGATCAAATTGAATCTTGTTTGTTGGTCATTGAATTATGTAAAATCATCTAGAATTTGGAATTTTTTCCAAATTTCAACAAATTTAACCTAGGTCATCACAAAAAATCCATATTTTTTAGTTTTTTTTTTAACCAAAAACCACGCCACACTCCCAAAACTTCCTAAACTCAAATCAAATCTTAAAAACCATTCCTAAACAACTATTTTAAACTAAAATTCATTTTTTTTTTAATTTTGAAAATAAAAATATTCAATTTTTATGTATATAAGTTCATTGTGACATGGTTTTTTTTTATTTAATTGTGTTTTTAATCAATGTAATAGCTAGATTTACTTTGCCTATCGCTAATAATAATGGTTGCAAGCATAATTTTTATTTTATTTTTGTAATTAAGGGTAAAAAGATAATTAGCATTAAAGATCATATATGTGTGAGGTAGAATACATGATAATACAAACCATTAGACCTATTAAATTTATTTTGCCACATGTCATTGTAATAGGGGTGGAGGCATCGATCTTTGTAACGTAATGTAGACATTGTAGAATTTTCCTAAGGGAATTACAAAAGAAACTAAAACATGTGTGATTTACCTGTTCATAGATTGTTCACACGTACAATTAGGTTGTTTCCCAAGACTTAGCCATACGAGTGCTCATTCTATTGATCGCCCACAATTGATCATTGTGTTGTTGTTAGCATTCTCTTGATCTTTAGATCTCTCATTTGTGTTTGACGAATAATATATATGTTTTGGTCGTATGTATTTTTTGGTCTATGTAAACGTCGTTTTTCATTCTCATGTTTTATGCGGCTTTACTTTTGGTCCTTATGAATCTTTTCTTTTGCCTTTCTATTTTCTCGTTATTTATGTTTGTTGCTATTAAGTAGCCTTATGATTACCTAAACGCCCTATGTTTTTTAATTTTTTTTTTAGACTTTCATACCTTTTTTTGTAACTTTTGATAGGTGCATAATTTGAATGATGACGTGTCATATCGCCAATAAATTAGTAATTTATATGTGTCCTTACAAAGTTTTTAATTGAAAGGGAATCAATTAATTACCTTGGGTGTTATTGTGTGTAAGGGGGTTTGTGTGTTTGAGATGATTGAAAATAATATAAAATAATAAGAAATAACAATATGAGAGTAGCTTTGGTTGAATTTCAATATCTAGTTTTGGTTTGGTCCCTAATCATTGATTAAATAGTTAACTCATCATAGTCATGAATATTCATCGTAAGACAATAGCATTTATATTGACTCCAATCTTTCCTTACCTAGTCGTTAATTGAATATACGATACCTAATTAATTTTCTAGCTATTGAACAACATACTAAGTGCTAGATAGATTTAATCCAATAATAACATTAAGATGAGAAAGATAGGTGAAGTTAAGCCACCTTCCTAATCGCTAAAGAAGATGTAACCTAGTTTTATTTTTTCAAGGAATTGAATAAAAACATCATGAATCATCAACCTTTAGATACCACCACGGGTAAGTTTAGACAAGCAATTACACGAGCTTGAATACTTAGCTAGCAACAAGCAATATGAATAAACAACTAACGTGCACTTTAATTGAATTAATTATACAACTATGAACCAATCATGTAGAAAAATATAAAATACCCAATAGAGATAAGTTTAAAAATAAAACTAGTAATCTCACAACGATTAACCAAAAGCTTCAACTTGATTCAATCAAGAATGGAATTTAATTGTTCATGATGTAATACAAAGAGAATTTCTATTAATGGTGGCTATAGAAGAGCTAGTTGGGCGAGAGAGATAAATAGTACCCTAACTTTGCTATTTATACCCAAAACTAGGATTACATCATGTTTTGTGTCCACATTACATTGTCACATGACTTGATATGTAAATTCACATGGCTTGTTGCTTGATACCACATGGTTTGAAGTTTTAGAAATTAAGTTGTATACGGCTTGCTAACTAAGGCACATGGCCATGTAACTTTGTTCTTCATCCCATATAGGCAAGCTTCGTTCATGTTTGTCTTTTCTTCCTTAGCCAAACAGGCACATGGCTTTACATTATAAATCATCTAAAAAGCCTACCGCCCATATGATCTTCTTCCGCCTTTAAGTGTTGCTCGGTTTAATCAACCACAAGATCATATGGAATGCTACCTCGATCGTATGGAAATGGTTACGCCCATGTAACATGTTATGCTTGAGACTCCACATGGTTTTCTCCTTCAAGTCACATAACCGGTAGATATTTTCTTTGTTATTTTACATGATCGTGTGACTCCTCTAAGCCTCTTTGAATTTTCTCTCTTTTCTTCTTTGGTTTTTGGGTTTCCTTGTTCTAATTCATCATTTTTGTAACAAAACTCAAAATCATTATCTTATTCTTAGATAGCATAATATAATACAATAAGTACTAGAAAATTCAATGTAATAAAGCATAATAATCATACTAATTATACACTCATTAAATACGCCCACATTTAAACTTTGTTAGTCCTCGAAGCAAAATAAATAAAATAAAAACCTAACTTACTTTTATAGGAATCACGAGTTGCTTTCAGCATATGCAACAAGCCTTTAAACCCTTAAGTTACCCCGGTGGATGAGTTGTGTCTCGTAAGGGTTTTCGGACGATAAACTCATAAAATTGTTCAAACAAATATCATGCTAGTATGATTATTCTTCCAACATTGATGCTTCATTCAAAATTCATAAAATTTTACAGATCAACTTGATCATGTTCAAGATATTATTATAATATCAATGCACATCTCTAAATTGATTTATGCATCTTCATAACTAAACATAATTCATGTATGCAACACTAACTCTACTTTTACCCTTTTCCACCATTATAAGTAAAGT